ATTTTGGTTGTGTAGAGGCCCCAGTAAGTGACCCACATATCCTAATGTTTTCCTGTCTCCATGTGTAATATGCATATTTCCATTCCCACAATGGGAAATTTCTTGCAGCTGTATTGTCCATTGGCTTGTTGAATTGGACATGCCTTCGGAATGCACCTTTGCTCGGATAGAAGCAAGAAAGAGTCGACATTGTGAGTGGATTACTCACAAAGTGAGCTACTACTACTGGTAGCCAAATGAATGGGGGTGGGTGGAGGCGGTGCGAAGAAATGAAAATGACCAATCATGGCTATTGGTGCTTTAAAGTTTCCTTCAAAATGGGTTGAAGAGGGGACAACTAGATTTGTGTTTTCCATTATGGTAAGTGGTGCCATTTTGATTTAATCCTTGCATTTTGTTTCGGGTTTAGAAAAGACAGCAGGTACGATGCATGAATAATCACATGGTGCAAATTCCATGTAATTTACTGTTAGAGACTAAGTCTCAGCCTGCAGGATTACTTGGAAGTGGTTTATTGTTCCATAGAAACTTTTGTAACACATGAACCAGGAACTGTTGGTAATGAAGAATCAAAACAGCACTATATTTGTAGGAATTTGCACAACATACATAATGTGCATCTAGAATCTTTAATATTTTAAATATTCAACCTGTGATCCAATTGCAGCAATCTCTTGCAACATTTATGCTAATTCATAAGCATCATAGGTCTATTGGTTGCATAGTTCTTATAAAAAATGTGTGAAATCGTAAAGTCTAATTAAGTCTTCATATTGGCTATACAAATATGGAAGTCACCAGAGTGACAAAATCACTTATAACCAAATCACATTCATAAAGATTTGTGAAGCAATAGCACAGACAGCAATAGTTTTTCTTACAAATTCTGACAATCTCCACTAGTTACAGAAATCAAATGTTGTCTTTTATAATATGTTGTTTGTTTGTAATGATGAGGAAGGTTTAAAGTTATACTTGCCAGTGAGGCAATGGTTCAAGGAGGAAACGTTCAGTTTGTATCAAATTTTTACTTTTATATAAAGTTTAGGATCAGTTATAAGCAATATGTTTTTAAATTATTTCAAAATGTGTCACTTAATTCATGCATACAGGAAAGACAGAATAAGTGAAGCAACATTGAGAGTGTCTACTGGTATTGTATGAAAGATCCAGGTGTTAGGTTAGGATTAGAATACAGAATTTATTCTGCCTATCAGAGGTAAAACAGCTTTTATTCTACATTGATCCTGTCCACAACACCATCAGGTTTGGTGAAAAGTCCACTAAAACTCTAAAGTTACTAGAGGTGACAATCAAAGACCCACAGACAACAGATAACTGGACAGCCTTAACATACAATCTCCTGCAGTGAAGAATTCTGATATTGATTAGAATTAGGTCCACAAGGCTTAGTATATGAGAACTAACAGACAAGTAGGAATACAGATTCTACAACATCCCTCAGTCAAAGTTAGACTAATAGAAAGATTAGTTTTCTAAGTTCAAATAGGACAGCTGACAGGTACATTTTTCGCATAGAGCAAACATGCAAATAGTTTAATGGTTTATTATTTCAGTCAACAGTTAATATTACAAATATTTAAAAATTACTTAATATAAATAGTTGGCAGCAAACCATTCCAGTACAGAAGTATCACCAGTACAACAGACAGACTGGAGGATTAGACATTTGAACAGAAAGATGCAAAACAAAGAAATATAAAACAAAATTAAATCAAGCTTGAAGTGATCTTGTGTCCATAAAAGCATGGGTTCTCCTTTATTTAAAAATCAAACAAAATTACTAATCAACTCCCCCTATAAAATACAAAAAGGAACAAAATTGGCAGAAATTGATGGCTGTCTAATTTGCATATCAAAGAACCATTAGTTGCTAATTACAACCTAAACGCTCCTGTAAACCACTGTTCTGAATCTATACACAAGCATTTAATTAGAAACTAGACACTTTCTAACAATATTACAAAGATTTTAGCTCCAAAAATAATTCAACATAAAATAAACTTTAGGAATTAGCATCATAAAATTATATTTTCCACATAAAAATACAAATAATATTAATGACACTGGCTGGATAAGAAAATTATTCCAAATACCATGCTACTGTTGAAAAAGTAGTCATATTTGTAAAGTAAAATAAAATAAACAAAATAGGCAAATATGCATGAAAAGTATCTCCTTTTTTTCTTTTTTTTAGCAAAACACTATCCAAAATAACTACAATCATTTACATCAGTACAAAGATCTCTGGATTTAAAAATATTAGCATGACAAAGGGGTAAAATTTCTGACAGTAAAAAATGACATTGTGGATAACTAGTCTGCAAATATGCAATGAAAAAAATAAATCTGCATTAAAAGGTTTACACTGTTATTCTTTTTTCTTTTCTTACAAACATTAGAAACAGTATTGCACATCACAACACAAAGTCGAGGTTAGTCAGCCTTCCAAAATGTGTTATATTCAAGTCTTTCAGCATCTTTGAGGAAAGGCCGCATATGGCCAGATGCAACAGGGGTTAAATGTCAAGTGTTTCCCATAAAATATATTTGCTTATGTTTTCTTTGCAAAACACAGCATGGTTTTAAAAAAATTAATTTCTCTGCAGAGCCCTGCATCTGGGCAGAAATACGTACATTCGGGGAACACAGTATGTGAACAAGCTTATTAGAATACAAAAATAATACAATCAAAATGAAATTACATTTCTACAAAAATAGTGAAATAAATATGATTTCTTTAAAAAAGATGCATTACAGTGTTTACCATTTTCTTTAAGAATAGGGCTTGTTACTTATCTTAAAAATCATGGCAATGCTGAATAATTCAGGTGCTACAGTAATAAAGTTGTCTTGGGAAATAAATGACAGCAGATGAAACAAAAATCATTCTACTACCACCCCACCCTAGAAAGGGTTTACTTAAGATTTGTATACATCAAATTAATTTAACAAAATACCTTGGTGATTGTGCCTTTAATTATACATAAGGATAGGGGGATTACTGCACTCTTATTTTCTGCACAGTTTTACATTGAATAGCCCTCCTAAGGTTACCATGTTAGTTTACAAATGTTTAGACCCTTCCAAATTTAGAAAGCAAGATGTATGAAAAATAAAAATATCAATTTTGTTAAATCATTTATTTGCTGAATTAAATTAATTATATATGCAGATCTTTCAATAATAAACATAGCAAAACTATCGATTTCTCTTCTAAATTCAGAAAATTGAGGTATTGCAAAGGAGATGCCATCAGTCAAAAAGTGTGCCCTAAAACAGCTGACTGTTGGAAAAAACTCTCACCAAGATACAAAAGTAGTGCACAACAAATGCCAATATGGGTGTCTGAAAATGGAACAAAGTTTGGCAGAGAACAAATACTCCAAAGAGCCTGGAGAACCATGGTAAGTAACAAATGGGAGCATTAGCAAATAAATAAATTAGTAAAAAAGCTCTTCTTCAAAACAGCAGACTTCAAACATTTCAAAAGTTGCATCACAATTACTATAAACAGCAGAATTAGACATGAACTACATACACAAAAGCACACCAGGAGACCACCAAAGTTCAACACCTTGCTTACATAAAAAGATTGTCCCTAAGGATTATATATGGTTGTTCTATACAGTAGATGTTAGTAATGGTATGAACATCACTTTTCAAAAATAAATAATTGACACCCGCACAACTTTCTGCAGCTAACTGATGAATTTTTCATTCTAGTGTGATTTAACTGCAGAGAAATTCAATGCTTCATGTCAAACCATGCATTTTAACACCAGTTATCTCCATTTCGACTTTAAAATGGTTAGGTTCTAGGAAATCACATTTCTTATGTGATGATATCAGTACCATTTTATCACTATTTTGTGGGCTTGGAGTTTGGTGATTGTTTAGCAGTGTGCTGGCCATCTTTGGTTTATAGAGGAAGTCTGAGCCATTATACCAAAGAGTTTTATGAAAGGGGCAATGAAATCGAAAGCTTTTAGTTCTATTCTGATTTTTCTNAAAAAAATCCTAACTACTGTAGTTCTAAATTTCTATGTAGGACAACAACTCACTCAGCACTAAACAAAACTCACACATTAACAAGATTGCACAGGGAATACGAGATTATATCCAGTCTGTAGAAATCGAACTCCACAACCCACCAGGTCACAATAGTGGCTGCACTTCTACTCTAAAAGCTAATTTGCATAATGTACACAAAGTGTAGCAGTAGGACATTCTTGTTACAGGAGTCACATTTATGCATGCAAGTTAGTTTTTTTTCCTTTTTTCTTTTATACTATCAATGTATCTTTTTGTTCATGCTAACTAATTTTTTTTGAATGCTTACCAAAACTGACATCACATCCGTTGTTGTGAAGGAACATGTATGAATATATTTTTAGTGCATGCATAAGGTGTACAAGTAAACATGCAGTTGTTTAAATTCACATTCTAAAACTGTGGCAGTCTAGGCCATGTTGTGCCGTCTGCATCTAATTCTTCTGCAATGCAGCCGCTATAATTATGTTTCTGATCCCATTTTGTCACGATGTGTTCTGGCATTAAATATAACACCTATATAGCAGCAAAGCTCCTAATGCAGCTTAAGAATAATAAAAATGCTAAAATAGTTAACAAACAATATCAATCTCTTGAGGTATTATTTCTTGCAATTCAAAATGGAGAGCAAAAAACATAACATTTTAAAAGTTTATGTATACATTGCAAATAGCAACATTAAAAAATAAAATTTGTGTGTGCAGAAATCACCCACCTATAGCTAAACTTGCCTCCTACTATTTTGCTACCTTTGGTAAATTACTAGGAACAGGTCTTGGAGATGAAACTGAGCTTCCTGAAATAAGTGCATGCTCCACCCATTAAAGATAGCAGCAAACTGGGCGCCCCTAAGTGGCAACATTCTCATTTCTAATTTTAAAGTTTTTTTATATAAAAAAATAACTTGAAAAAACTACAAAAAATCCTTTTTTAAAAACATGAAAGTACCTCAAAAAAGTTAGTAAAGCCTGAGATGCAGGGTTTTGGTGACAAACAAGAGGCCTGTAGTGTATTAGCTGCTACAGATGATGTACGCATTGAGAGCTGGGGTAGGAGGCAGAAGAATGCACTTATTTCTCCTAACTAGTCTTGGTTTCTTCAGCCTTTTAAGCCTCATGCACTCTTTTCCCTTCATCCGTCATGATCCTTCAGACATCTGAATGTGTTCAGCTCCAGCGGAAGTGGACCTGACGAGGGCGGTCAGCCCCCTCCTTCACCAGTGGCTTGTGGAACTCCCGCCCAGCGCGAGAGTGGATGTTTGCCCAACAAAATTCACAGTAATACTGCAGACAAGTGACATTGGCACAGAAAAATGGAGCAAACTTTCCACCGCATCGAGCACCCTGGCATTCATCACACATTTGATCATCTAGCACGTATGGCTTAACTTCCACCTGTTGAAATAAAACACAAAAAGTTTACAACTGATATTAATATCAAGAATGAGTAAAGAATCTGTTAGGCTCAGCAAATGGATTCCTGGGCTCTTGGGCCAATTCTAAAACAAAACTTAAATGAATAAGATTTTAGATTATGTCTTTTTGTGCTGCAGTTACGCCCTTACATTACATTTTTTAAATTTTTTTTCACAATTTTTATTTTTATTATTCATTTCTTTATTTAATAAAATAAGAATAAATATTTTATTATTAAAAAGTTATTACTAAATAATAACATTTAGATTTTTTTTTACAACTTATGCAATCAAATGTTTCGCCCACAAATATACAGTCAATTCACTTTACAGCATATTCTGTGAAGCGCTTTAAGACGTCTAGAAGACGTGAAAAGCACTATATCAAATGCAAGGATTATTATTATTATTACATTCATGCTTGTTGAGACATCCTCCTTAGCTCAGTTAGTAAAACACTGTCTGTCATACCAGAAGGTTCTGTGCTTGAATTCCAGTATACTCATTCAACATTTTGAGGTCAAGAAATTGAGTGTTAAAAGCAAAGAATATCTTCCATAGAGTGGGGGTAGGAACGCACAGGTGACGAAAGCCATTTGATCTCAGTGTTCAAGTTGATTTTTAATCAAGTCAAGTCTTCTGGCCTCTACCACTCTTCCTGGTAACCTATTCAAGCTGTTTATTACTCTGTGTAAAAAAAACTTATTTTCTAAATGTCCTTCACAACCTGAGTTTGTATCCTTTTACCCTATGGCCTTGGTATATCGGATTAAAGATAAGCAGCATCTCCCTGGGGATGAACAGGCCCCTGGAGAATAGCCATGCAGGTCTCCAGTAATGCAAGGCATTGCTGATGACACGACTAACTTGTTTGGCACATCAGTAAGATTGAGAAGGTGCAGACATTCTCAAGTCAAAGATCTAACCGGTTTGATATTCCTGGCTGGGTAAGTGCCATGAAACCCGTCAGTGCTTTGTAATGAGCTCCATGGTTACAATTAAAATGATTATACTTGCCAAGATCCAAATATTAATTTTAAGAAATACGACAGTAAGAATCAACTATGAAAATTATGTTCAATCCAGGGCCGAAACAGACTGCTAGTAGGTTTGGAGAAATTTCAAGCTCCAAAGGCTGGTTGGACATTGTTTTTAACAAAATGCTAGCTCATACACCATGGTGGTGAAGCAAAGCTTAAAATTATACCAATAAACTCTGTACTATATAAAATAAACACTTACACACCATTTTACTTCTCCCTCTTCTATCTTTCATTATTTTGCTTTTTAACTTTTTAAAAAAATGAATATCCTATTCTATAATTTTACAACAAAATACTTTCTTTCCTTCTAGAATCCCACCATGCACTCTAGAGGTAGAATTCCCATTTGAAAAACAGGCCTAAAAACATTTTTTTCCTGCAGACAATTGAGTGCCAGGTGTCAAATAACTATGTGCTTCCGCCATAGACTGGACTAGGTCAATCTTTAACATCTTAATCCTCAGAACAGAAAGGGATGCTGCAGGGTATGTTATCTTCTCGGTTTCGACAAATTGCATTGCTTTTTATTTTTAACAAGTCACTTTGCATAAACCGTACAAAACTTATTAAAATGTATTTTACAATCAGTCAGATTCCCCTCGCCTACAAAAAATATTTTGTGAATCTCCTCCTAGCTACCCCAGAGAACAACAAATACCTTTTCTGACCTGATCTTATTGCCACCTTTACCATATAGAATGCACAAAAAGGATCTATACTTCTAAGATTACCTCTTCATTGTACTGCTACCTAACACTGCAAAGTCATTTGTCTGCTACATCATTGACTTATACCATACCGTATTATATGGGATATAATGGCAGCTTCCATATTTTAATACTCTTCAAATATCTCAAATATAGAATCACCCTGAATCTGGAAAAACAGATCTAAATGCATTTTTTATGTCTTGACGGAAAGACAAAATTTGTGAAGCAATATGAATGCTAGCATACAACAGCCCAAGGTTAATTTTAACAGCTGAACAATTCAATGTTAATTTATAGCCTTAGTCCCTTCACAAGAACAATGATAACATAAATATGCTTCATTTAATCACATCTGCAAAAAACTGCACATTAATAAATTATGCATACTGCCTCAATGTGTTGCTGTTAATTAAGATTACAGCCTGCATGTGTGAGAGTTTTCCAAATAAATTAATAACAGTACATAGGAAAGCAGCACAGCTGAATTTTAGCAAATTTTTCATTAAACAAAAATGACTGCAAATTTGAGAAAAAGTTAAATTTAAAGACAATTTCCTTTAGTCCTTATTATTCTGATCCAAATTTTGGAAAGAACTTATAGCTTGCTGTATGAATATCTTTATCTATGACAGATCACCAGGGTAATTTATTGCAGGCAACTCTTGTACTGGTTGGATCCAGTGAACAGTGAAATACGTAAAAAGTTACAGATGAACAATAAGTATTTTCACAGTAAGGTGCAGTATTGAAATGCAGAACTCTTATACTAGGGTAAACACTATTTATACTCACTATGATCTGGATTGATTACATTGCATAGTCGACAATAGAAAATATTATTATTTTAAGATACATTTTAAAAGAATACATAGCACCTTTAAACCGAGATTCAAGGCTGATTCAAATATCACAGAAGGTCAAAGCTTTGTGGTCCACAGAGACGTTTATCATGTGGAGGACAGCTAATTACTACAGCTGTTCTTAACCACTGAGCCAGAGTGACTAATGGTCTGTTCTAATCTCCTCAGACATAGGCACTTTACCTGATCCATCTGTCAATATCGCACAACCCTCCAATACAAATATACTGAAGTTACTAGGAACTTGCTATATTCCCTGGGTTAAAACTAACGATTTACTAAGACAAGAGCGCCGTCACTATGAAGCTCTCAAATATACCACTACGTTCGATATAACACGCATCACTTAATAGTTCACTTTGTTAGACATTCCCTCTAAACACACCTTTTGTATGAAACGTGAAAGAGCATTAAAGAGCACTCAAACTGCAGGTTTGAATTCTTACTCAAAGTTGAATTTCATGTCAAAATAATTCTGTATTGCATCAATCCTGTTTCTCTCAGGGTATGTGTGTGTGGGTTGAGGAGGGAGGCATAATGATCAACTAATGATCTTATAATAATAATAATCCTTGCATTTGATATAGCCCCTTATCATGTCTTCGAGACGTCTCAAAGCGCTTCACAGGATATACTGTAGGGTGAACTGACTGTATATTTTGTGGGCAAAAATAGATATTGAACAGAGGGTAATCTACTAACCTGTATTGGTACATGGACATGGGAAGATTTAATTTACATATTTTCCCACTTTCATACCATTTATGTTGCTTTTTTTAAAAAAAAAATCTGTGCAGTTAATTCACTCAATGGAAACCAAATGAACCTGATTTCAGTTTTCTGGATTACTTTCCCAGGATAAATGACAGAGTCCAGATTAAGACAGTTTCTTCCAATTGCATGTAATACGACAATGGATATTAACAGTATTAGTAAATGTTGAGTTGTCTATCTTGAAACAGGAAGAAAATAAGTCTTTGCTTTGTGTGTTTAATTCTACAATAATTCTATAGCTATATATTCTATATATAGCTATATATTCTATAGTTGGGATTAGATCTCTGTTAGCAGGATGAAATTCTTCAGCCATGAAAATTCATTAAAAAGTGCAAAAGGGCTCAAGTGAATTGATCTTACTTTAAAAATCAAGCCGAGGGGTCAAAGTTCAAAATGTAGTACCACACCAAATAGTGTAGCACAGAAATGGTTAGGTGGCCCCAAATGTTTGTGTCGATTTTAAGAGGAAAGGAAGATTAAGAGAAATAATGAACTCCATAGTCTTGAGCTCCTGGAAAAGCACGAGCTGGTGTGATTGCAAGTGAGAGAAGAGAATGCGGGATCTATTTGAAACTTGGGAGAAAGGTTCATTAGGTTCCATCTTGGATCAACGTTAATTTTAGTTGGTTAGACTCCAGCAGTACCCCAATGCACACTATCGTGTCCCCAAGCCATTACTCTTGCCAGCATGCATGTAATACTCTGGAATTAGGCAACCTACAGGGAGAGAGTGTGAATACCATTCCATCTGTAGGTATGCAAAAACATGTGAAACTCTCAGCCTGGACTGAGTACTCTTAAGCATAGTCCTGGACAGAATATTCTTAAGCATAGATCATGTATCAGACACACGGCTGACCCCCCAAAAATTGAGATACATTTGGGATTTTCTTTCAGATAGGTACAAGTTGTTGAGAGGAAAATAAAGTTTTGCCTCAAAACAGGAAACCAAACTTTTGGAGGCTACTATAGCAATGGAGGAGAGATGGGAATTCCTTTGAGATCAGAGGAGATTTTGAGGTCAATAAGATTGATCAAAAATTGAGTCTTTAAAAGAAAGAGATGACTGATGTGGGAGAATTTTTTTCCAATTTTTTTTCAAATTTAACATACTCCCAAATCTAAGGCAAAGGCAGATTTTAATGGATTTAGGTCAGAAAAAAGTCACTGTAATTCAAAGGCACTATGGATTCCAAGGTTGCATTTTAGAGATACACCTGAAAATAAGCTTTATACAAAGGTAAAACCGTTGCTTTATAAAAAGGTAAAACAACCTTGAGCTTTTAATGCCCCCATTGTAATAGACAAGTGACAATGTCAGTTGTTGTTAAACTCTTTAGGAGGTGGAATAGTGGCGAATTCTCTAACAGCAATGATCTTAAGGGTCGTCCAGGAACTTTAACTTAACAGAGAAATTAAACACATAAAATATATTTTTTCTCTACTTGTTTTAAACATCTTGTTTAGAAAAAGTACTGGAAAAAAAGGTAATAAGCACTTCACTTGTACCTATACTAATATATAACTAATTACCTGAATAGTATCAAGCCATTTACACTAAACTATATCTTATTGCTATACATAATTGACCTTTGTTAAGTGCTAAATATCTGTATGAACTAGCTCCTGCAGTTTTGTGTCAATCTAATACTGCACAGTTAAAGAAGTAATGAAAATAGCTTATTTTCAAATCCAATTTTGGGATGTACAATGAAGCAAAGAAGCAATTCTATCCATTTAATTTTAGAGGCACATTATATATACGATGATCACCTTAAACAGCATAAACAAAACAGATTACAAAATAGTCAATATTGCCAAATATGGAAGATAATGTGAGGGCAGTATGGTGGGTATTCTAGAAAGACAAGATCAAATGGGTTGCAAGAGCCTTCTTCATCTGAACATCATTTGTGATTTATTATCTCTTCAAAACCGTATCTTTTTTTCTTCTCATGCGTGCACAAAAACCTTTCACAACTAATAACCTGATAGCTCATACGAGTTATAATTATCAAAAGACACAAGCAATTTTTGTACATCACTCAGGTATGCTGCCCAAGAGTTCTTCCTTTATATATCCATTCAAGGTTGCTTGCTGGATTATGACAGTGAATCAACCAAAATAATTTGTACTTTACCCGTTTATCAATATCTCCATGCTGTAGCTGAACAAAACGAGCGCTGATGGCAGCTATGTAGCTTTGTTGATTAGAAAAGGCAACACGTCCTGCACCTTTTGGGTACTTTAGCTCTGGGTCAGTATCTATTCCTGCGTAACATACTCCACCATAAAGTCGATCCATTATCATAGCCAGCTCCACTGCAAAAGGAATGCAAAACCTTTTAAAATAGAGGACAATACGAGTATAGTACATTATACTTTGTTTAAATAAATATAATCCCAGCTAATATGAAACCCGTAAGCTTTTTTTTCAATGTAAACAGAGTGTGAAAAAACTCCTGAATGCAATGGGGAACAAGAAATAAAAAAAGTCAGTTTAAATACAGGGCTGCGCCATTCGCTTATAACACGATTGAGGGTGGGCCTCGTTCACTGTGTATGTGATCCAACCACCACATCCACTGTATTTAATCATTCAGCAATTGTGTCATAATGATGTGATATTTTGATTGTTGTATTCACTCAGCCAGTATTTATTAATTGATGTATTTCAACAACAAAATTACACTTGTATAGCGTCTTTCACGTCAGGAGGACGTCCCAAGGAGCTGGACAATCAGTGTTTTGGATCCTTGCATTTGATATAGCGCTCTTCACGTCTTCTAGACTTCTCAAAGCGCTTCACAGAATATACCGTAAAGTGAATTGACTGTATATTTGTGGGCGAACGCGGCAGCCAATTGCGCACAGCAGTGTCCTACAAAAAGTCGTAGATTAAAAATGACCAATTTATTATTGTTTTTGTTTTCGGAGGGATTATTATTAGGCGTGTGGAGTAAGGAAACTTGCCCAAGGTTTCGCCCTGCCTGGAATTGAACTCTGGTCTCTCACTTGCAAAGCGAGTGCTCTAACCACTGAGCTACAGGACTCAACAGTTTTGGGATTGGCGAGGGTGCAGGGCAGGGAGGGTGCCTGAAGGCACAGTCAAAGAGGAGGGTCTTGAAACGTGCCTTGAAGGAGGCAAGGGAGGGAGTGAGGCAAAGGGAATGTGAGATGGAGTTCCAAAGGATGGGGCCAGGAGGCTGAAAGCCCAACCGCCGATAGTGGAGCGGGTCAGCGGGGGACATGGAGCAGGCCAGAGTGGACTGGTTGATATGGGATTAGCAGGTAACAGAGGTAGGAAGGGAAGACCGTGGAGGGCCTTGAAGGCAAAGATGAGGATTTTGAACTTTATCCTCTGAGGGATGAGTACTGTCATTATGAGACTGCACTTCTCTAAAGTGAAAAAAGGCCAAAACATATTGGTAAAGTCACTCTGAATATTTCATTTCATCTACTCTATTATTGCCATTTTCTTTTGGGACATCCTGCTGACGTGAAAGGCGCTATACAAATGTAATTTTTTTGTTGCCATTTTTTCTTCACAGCAGTTTCTACTAACGTAATAATATGAGAAATGTTCACTGTAAACATGGAATTCTTCTAAAGGTGGCATTGTAAAACAGACATACATTTCCTGTGACTCCATTCTGCTCCTTAAACCACATAGTAAACTATGATAAAATGGCCAGGGGACAGGATACACAGTAGCAAGGGTGTCATAAACGTGGAACAAATAATAATGCATTAAACTTCACAAATAATCCCATCAAGTCTTGTTTTATTTATTTTAGATAAAGGGGGATTTAAATAAAAATAATAAATGTTAAATGCATCCTTTTAATTCTTCTTTATAAAATTGAGCATTGATATTCAAACTACCATCCAGTTCTAGTTTTATTTGATCAGCCACCTGACACATACTGAAGAATAACTTATCCAGGCAGAGTTCCACGTGGACTATGCATCTGAAATGGAATGCGTACTCTCTCCCCAGAGGGACACATCCTGCTTACTAATTCCAGAGAGTATCAGGTCAAGAGCGTGAATTGGGGTGCAGCTAGAGCCTAAACAGCTAAAATCTAATAGTTCATCATTGTGAGCACTGGCAAGCTTCCCATTGCTTGTCCAGCTGGCATAACTGTTAGAGCTTTGGCTTCAAGGATAACAGAGGCTGAGAGGGAAGAACCTCTGCCCCAATGACCAGTCTTCGATGAGCCAGACAAGCTGGTTGGTCATGAATAGGAATGGCTGCAGATATGTCATGGTGAATCAAAATGTTACAGATACCGTGATTTTTCCCCGTTTGTCCGCGACAAAACATGCTGTCCTGTGCATTTCCTGCATGTTTATTTATCAAAACTATGTCAGAATATTTATTATACTTTAGCCATCAAGAAGTCGTTCAAATAAAAAAAAGTGTTTTATTGTTCCTTCTTACCAGCTCTTAGGGGCCGAGGAACACCACCAACAAAAATAGTTTTACGTGGATCAAGAGGTTGTGAACCATCCATCACAAAGTCGCTGTCACTCAGATTCCACGGGCGGATTTGGACCTGGACAAAAAACAAATTCATTTGATGACAGTAGAAGCACAAATAACAAATCACATCTATCCAGCCAACCATAGCATACAAATTGCTTGCAGGACTCAAATGAAAATCCTGGAAAAATCCTCTTTTAACCAACATTATCAACCTCTCCTTATCTCCTGGCATTGTTTCCAACTTCACTCTTTCCTCTCCCTTCCCTCTTCGAATACTACCCCTCCCACCGTCTCCGCTTTGTCACCACTAACGGCTTCTCCTCCAGCCCCCACCGTTACATGTGGTGTCCCTCAGGGCTCTGTCCTTGGTCCTCTCCTTTTCAATATCTACATCCTCCTCTTGGTGACATCATCCACAGACATGGGGTCAACTTCCAAATGTATGCGGATGACACTCAACTCCACCTCTCTGACTCCACCCTCGATTCCAGCACCACTGCTGTCCTCACTGACTTCTTGTCGGACATCAAGTCCTGGAATGAGAGCCAACTTCCTGCAATTGAATGTCAACAATACCGAGGCCTTCATGCTTGGCTCCTGTCAGCGCCTGCATACCTTGGCCCTGACAGCATCTCCCTCCATGGATGCTACATCTCACGGAGCCAATACGGAACCTCGGTGTCCTGTTCGACCCTTCAGCCACTCTGTCCCATCCTCTAGAACTCCATACCACAGTCCCTCCACCTAGCACCCCCCTCCCTTGCCTCCTTCAAGACCTGTCTCAAGACTTTCCTCTTCGACCACCCTGCTTCCCCCCATACCCTCCACCCTCCCTGATCCCGACCCCCAGCTCAGGTCCGAAACACTGATTGTCAAGCGCCTTGAGACATCCTCCCGATGTAAAAGGTGCTATACAAATGTCATTTTGTTGTTGAAATACATCAATTAATTAATAATACTGGCTGAACGATATACAACAATCAAAATATCACATCATTATGACATAATTGCTGAATGACTAAATACAGTGGAGCCTCGTGATAATGTGGTGGTTGGATCACATGTAGTGAACGAGGGCCACCCCCAATCATGTTATAACTGAATGGTGCAGCACTGTAGTTAAACTGAAGCTTTAACTTTGTATGGCTAAAGATATATAATAAAGCTCAAATGTACTCCTATTTGCTTCTTCTTTCAGTACCTTGGGACATCCTCCCGACGTGAAAAGAGCTATACAAATGTGATTTTGTTGTTGTGATATCTCCATATAGTACATGTATAATCGACTTTATGACCTGTAGCTATTGGGCAATCTAAAATATAGTATAGAGGGAAGCTGCATACCATATTCCTGACAAACTAAATTTTTTCTACAAGCCTTTTTTTAAAAAAAAACCTTATAAGCCAATTTCAACTGGCACAAAAAATAGTTTATTTGTTCCAATTATCTGGTGTCATTGGAAGTCTAAATCCTGACACAGATCACTTAAGCAACCCATCCAATTGCTCTCCAGGAAGGTTTACCTAAATTTATTGAACTGAACTTGTTCAGATCAATAAACCCTCATCCATGACTTTGTCACTTCCCAGCTGGACTATTCCAATGCCCTCCTTGCTGGTCTCCCCAGCTCCACCATACACAAATTTCAATTAATTCAAAACTCCACCACCCAGATACTCATCCACACAAAACACCATACCCCCATCATACTAGTCCTTGCCAGGCTCCACTGGCTCCCAATCACTGAATGGATTGATATCAAGATTCACTCACTCAATTTTCAAATCCCTTTATGCCTTCGCACCTCCCCACCTCTCCGAATTTCTTACCTCCCCACTCCACCACCCGTTGATTCTGCTTGGCGGCTCCAGCCTCCTGTTCATCCCTCGTCCGCTCTGCTCGACCTTCAGTGGCCGTGCCACTACGCCCCAAAACTCTAGAACTCTCTCCTTCAATCCCTCTGCTTTGCTCCCTCCCTGCCCACCTTCAATCCAGCCTTAGACCTCCTTTTTGATCATGCTTATGATCACCTCCTCCCCCTCCTTCTGGCTTGTTGTCAGACTCTGCCATTCTCAAGCACTCTAATAATAATAATCCTTGCATTTGATATAGCGCTTTTCACGTTGGGAGGACGTCCCAAAGCGCTTCACAGAACACACTGTAAAGTGAATTGACTGTATATCTGTGGGCGAACGCGGCAGCCAATTGCGCACAGCAATGTCCCACAAACAGTCGTAGATTGAAAATGACCAATTTTATTATTGTTTTTGGTTTTGGAGGGATTATTATTAGGCTCTGTGTGGAGTAAGGAAACTTGCCCAAGGTTTCGCCCTCTGTCTGGAATTGAACTCCGGTCTCTCACTCGCAAAGCGAGTGTTCTAACCTCTGAGCTACAGGACTCCACTCTGAGACGCTACCCTGTGTGAAGGGCGCTATATAAATGCAAGTTGATGTTCTATATAGGTACAGTATGTCGCTGTTATAAGTGAAAGGTAGTTAGGATCCAAAAAATCCCAACCAGCCTTGTACTGAAGCATGATAACCAGGTTTACTGAGGATTCACACAGCTGGCTAGCCAGGTCCCGTGCTAAAATAAAGTACAAATTCTGCATTATCGGATCTCCTTGCACTTTACCCTCTTGTTTAACAGAACACGTCTGCAATGCAGTGTGTAGGAAATGGTGGTGATGACCTGATGGCCTGGATATTGTCCATTTTTGGCATAGGAACTGGCTAGCATGCAGGAAGAAAGCAGTTGCCTGCACAGATGTGCATTGAACCGGTCCACACCCTGTCCATGGTATAAACAAGTCTGTGCTCTAACCCCGCATGTTAATAACAAACCATTTTAAACGTCAATCCTTGCTTTGCATTTATCAGCCAACGTATTTTATATATTCCATTTGAAAGGCCTTTTGTTTCAAAAGAAATGTACAGCCCTAATTGACCCCACAGAAATACAGCACTGCTAACCGCCAGGTCAAAAACAACACAGTGAGCAGGGATGCTCTGCATCCCAATTCTCACCAGAAAATAATAGCACTCAGAAGCTTTCTGTTAAAAAGGAGGGTAAAGTGCTTCTGCGCTATTCTTTAAGACAGGCTGCCACTGACAGAGAAGAAGTCCTTTCACAAAGAGTCTAAAGAAAGACACCAGCAGGAAAATAAGGTTTTGCTGCATGAATCACTATTAGAAATGTTCACTCCAACTGTGAGGGTGTATTTAACTCCATTAATGCATAGTTAACAAGCAAAGATTTCTATTCAATTATAAAGGAGTGAACTCAAGATTATAAAAAAAAGTAACCGTAAACTTAAAATAAAGGCCAGAGAATAGGGAGAAAAATGGGTTTGCAGGATAAATTCAGATGAATACTTCCAAATTTATTTTCAGTTTAAGCAACAACAACAAAATTACATTTGTATAACGCCTTTCACATCGGAGGATGTCCCAAGGCGCTGGACAGTCAGTGTTTCGGAACTGAGCTGGGGGTTGGTATTGGGGAGGGTGGAGGGCAGGGGGGGAAGATGGGTGATCGAAGGCACGGTCGAAGAGAGGGTCTTGAGATGAGTCTTGAAGGAGACAAGGGAGGGACGAGGCGGAGGGATTGCGGGATGGAGTTCCAGAGGGTGGAGGCAGAGTGGCTAAAGGCCCACTGGCCAATGGGCAGGTGAGGTGGGAGATGTGAAGCACGCCAAAGCCCACTGAGTGGAGGTAGTGGGCAGGTTGGTAGGGGGTTAGGAGGTTGCAGAGGTAGTGGGGAGCAAGGCCATAGAGGGCTTTGAAGGTGAGGACTAGGACTTTATGAATGAATGTATGAAGATTTCAGCGGCCTGCAGTGTGAGACAATGGGGGAGCCGGGCAATGTTGCAGAAATGGAGGAAGGCAGAGTGGGTCATGGCACGGATGTGGGGTAGAAAGGATAATTGAGGGTCAACCATTTTTAGCACTTATTTTAGGTTAGGGGTGACAGTTATTCCTGATGTTGATATTGCTTCCAGCCCTCGCAGTCTTGTGTGGTATTCCTCAATCTCTATAAGCTCCCTCTTGGTGACATCATCCGCAGACATGGGGTCAACTTCCACATGTATACGGATGACACCCAACTCTGTCTCGCTGCCTCCACCATCAATTCCAAGACAACTGACAGACTGTCTGTCTGACATCAAGTCCTGGATAAAAGCCAACTTTCTACAGCTGAATGTCAGCAAGACTGAGGCTCTCGTGATTGGCTCACCCCAGCACCTCCGCACCTCAGGCACTGGCAGCAGCAGCATCCATGGATGCGCACTCCATCTCACCAAGCCAGTCAGGAACCTGGGCATGTTGTTTGACCCTCAACAGTCCTTTCCGCCCCATATCCGTGCCATGACCCGCTCTGCCTTCCCCCACCTCCGCAACATTTCCCGACTCCGCCACTGCCTCACCCCTCAGGCCGCTGAAACCCTCATATGCGCGTTTGTCACCTCAAGGCTCGACTATGGAAACTCCCGACTTGTTGTCCTCCCCAACTTTTTCCTTCACCAGCTGCAGATCATCCAGAACTCTGCAGCTCGTGTCCTCTCCTGCACCAGGTTCCATGAGCCTATCACACCCACCCAGCTCCACTGACTCCCCATCCCTCAGAGGATAGAATTAAAAATCCTCACTTTCAAGGCCCTCCACGGCCTTCCCCCTTTCTACCCCTCTGACCTGCTAAACCCATATCAACCTGTCCGCTTCCTCCGTTCAGCAGGCTCCGGTCTGCTCGTCTCCTGCCCGACCCACCTTCGGCAGCCGGGCTTTCAGTCTCTCTGCCCCCACCCTTTGGAACTCCATCCCACAATCCCTTTGCCTTGATCCCTCTCTTGCTTCCTTCAAGGTACGACTCAATACCCTCCTTTTCGACCGTGCCTTCAGCTGCCCTCCTACCCCTTCTGCCCTCCCTCATCCCAACCCTGCCCCCACCTCCCCACGCGCGGATCCTGATCTCTAACTGTTCAGCGACTTGGGACGTCCTCCCGACGTGAAAGTTGCTTTACAAATGTAATTGTGTTGTTGCTTCAGTTGCCCTAATATTTTCTGTATGAGCTGAAAATGTTAAAAGTTTTCTTTACCAGTTGGTAGTCTAAATGTTAAATTGTGAAGTAGAATTTAATGATCAACATAGAGTACTTGGGAGAATTCTTCCACTTTTAGCAATTCCCAATCCTCTGACTTCATCGTGCTCATCATGCTCTGCTCAAAATGTTTTCCTCGAATCTAAATTAACCTGGTTTGAAAGTAGCTCGGGGTTAGATTCTGAAACTCATCTGTAATCATTTTTTTCCATTGTAATTGATCATTTCAGTGGTGACCTTATTCTGTAAGTCACTTTACTGATCAACTAATGATATTTCCTTGATGATATCAATGATGACTAGCAGTAGGGACATTCTTTTTAGCTAGTATATAAATTATTTCTTCACAAAGTTAAAATGCTCAATACTTAACTACAGCATTTCTCGATGGCTTTTAAAGATTTGGCCAATTCAGCTCCATCAAACTCATCTTATGTTACAGATTGAAAACTGAACTTTAATTACTGGAAAAGCACTTACATTCATTCCAGCACATTTATTTATCTCTCTCCTTCCTGTCCCTCTAGTCCAGGTACACTAAAATATATGAATCAACTGGTATTCTCTACGTCATATTGAATTCATATTACAAACTGCTGGTGTAGACAAGTCAGCAGTTTGACAGATGATATCACTGTAGGATGCTGAGATTTATATTGCAATTAACAGTAGACAAATAAATACACTATTCCTGGTGACAATTTGCTTTCTCACCAACCAAGCGCAAAGCTGCTTTGACTGGATTGAAACTCAATTTTAAATGAATATCTACGGTTAAGAACTTGCTCTGCAATGGCTTTATCTTCAAATACACCAAGATTTTACAGAAAAATTGTTCATTGCGATCAGTTCAGCGGCACATTACACATTTTCCCCATGCAGTTAAAGCACCTGGATGTACATGCTCCCTCCCCCCACTACAACTGGAAGGTGAAGATTGAGAGTCGCAATCCCAATGCTATAAACCCACTTTCATAGACTTACTTCACCAATGAGAATGGTGTGTGCGTGTGGTGGTGTGCATGTGTGCGGGGTGGGGAGAGATAATGTGGTGGGTCCACATACACTCAGTGGAATATGTTTCAATATACTTTTTTGTGACATGCATAAAGCTCGGTTTATTCTTAAATATTACTTTCAATTCTGAAGGAAATTAATCAAATATCTATGTGACTGCTATATTTCAGAAACTAGCTCACTAGCTCACCATAAAGCACCTGCTTGACAAAATGTACAGAAAGCAGTTTGTGTACAACACATGTTTTTGTGACATTGATGATAAACTGCTTCATCTTGACCACACATATCTCTTTTAATTATACTCTTCTTTTTCATGTGCTTCAAGGGCTCCAGCTGAAGGATAAATAATGGTAATAACCTAGAAGTGTTTCCAGATATGTCAATGAACTTACTGGTTTGTCCTTGATAGTGGGGCTCGAGACACAAAGATAGAGTTTACCATCCTCTTCAATGCAGGCATCTATCAGAGCCTGGACAGAACTTTCCTCTTGAAACAGGAGAAAGGCATAACCTGCAACAGAAGTATAAATCAAGAGATGCCAGTTTCAGAACATGCAGAAATAGTTGCTTTCCACATGCTTAAAATGTATTCCTCAATAATCCTTCTGGTCTGCAAGGTACAAATGGAAATTCCTAAACAGGGGTTCTATTTTTATACAAAAAGCTCACTCAATGGCCTATTGGGTAAAGAGACATCAGGTACAGCACTATATCATTCAGGCGAGGGTCGAGTCTCGGCTGGAATGTTGGCTGAGCTGCCTGACCTTAGTTTGAGCAGCTGTTTGTGTGCTACAAATGGTCAAAGTGGCCTCTCTGCTTCATGATGAAGAAATTTGAGTCAGGATTCCAACTTCTGTTCATTATCATCTGACCCCTGATGGTAAGTGTGTGTATATATATACATATATATATAAATATAAATATATATATATAAATATATATAAATATATATATAAATATATATAAATATATATATATATATACACACACACACATACGAGGCCTGGACTAGATTGGGCTGATCTGTGACCCACCCCCTCACATGGTGAATAGCCTAATGACAGTCACTGTCTAAGGTCGCACATGAAACCCCATCTGGGCAGGCAGCCAGAGATGGAACTAACAGCTTGAGGAGGGGAGAAAATTGGCAGAATCGTCTCTGTGATGCTTTTGTACATCGTCTAGTAGATAATACAGAGAGAAATTGATGGGAGCCTGAGAGCAGGTGGTATGTTGACTCTCTCAGCTGCTTGGCCTAGGATGATTTTTTGGGAAATGGAGAGGTTGGAAAAATTAAGAAAGCTGGGGAAAATGAGAAAGAGGCTGAAGAAACCATATTTTCAGCATAAAATAAGTCCCAACTGAAGCACATTGATAATGGAATGTAGACAAAATGATGTGATAAAAAAACAGGATTTATAAAGGGCATTGAACTCCAGGTTTCAGCTACATCTGGACTTAAAGACTAGAAATGGAATCATGTTTAATTAAAATGTGGATAGAATTACTTTAATAAAACTAGCTAAATGATAATGTATGGTTATTATATGGGACTAAGCGAAAGCTACACCCAAACATTAGTATATACATCCTTCAAACAAGGTAAGAAGTTCCCCAAGGGATTTTAACCTCTTCTGTGTCATGTACCATTGGGAAAGAAGAATGCCAAATTTAACTGTCCCATGCAGCTGAGCACTTCCCCAAGGGCAACATTTTCCACAAAGAAACAGAAAATAATCTTCCAAATATACAGATTTCTGCATTTTATACATGGCAAAATAACATATGTGCTAATGGATGTTAAGCAATATAGAATATTAATTAGCCATATCTGAATTTAATTCACATTATTTTAAAATGGTGTATTTATTCGGCCTACAAAACATAGACAATAGAAAAAAGGTTGGNAAAAAAATGAATTAAAAGTGCTGTAAGATCTGTATTATTGCTAGTTATTGACCATGGAAAATAAAAAATAAACCTTATGAATTTTTAAGAATGCATGCTATATTTCAATGCCATCAATGGAGGAAAACAATCTGTTTTGTATGCTCCTAAACATTAAAAAGTCCCCAGGTACAGAAGAGCAATAAACATGCTTTAATATTTCATACCTTGGAAAGCTACATAAGGCAAACTCGATGGACACTACTGGGTAAGGTGGTACAAAAAATACATTTTACAATATTATGACTGGGATCCAAAGTTGTTTAGGACAATATTATTCAGGAGATATATTAATCAGGAGGTGTTTCCTTTCATATTGGAACAGATTCAAATAATGGCAATTGATCTAAAATGTTTCTTAATTCTTCCAAATCAGTTAATTTCCAAGTGATTTTTGTGGTCTATCATCAGCTAGGTTACAAAAAGGTCACCAACTTTTCAAAATTCCCAACACTTGAGGTTTCATAGCAAAGCTTTCATGAGGGTACACATAGTTTTTACCTTTGAAGGCTGAACGTTTTACACATACAATACAAATGTACACTTATATTACACTTTGCGAGGAAGTCAAATAGATGCAAATAGCAGAGAAATAGTGGGTGAGAAAAATAAAGAAGCAATTTGCGTTACAATTTTAACTTACTCTAGTTTGGGCAATTTGTTTTGTCGTGTCATGAACAAAATACTGGTGTTACAAATGCTATATCACATTGGGACACGAGTCCTGTTAGCCTTCCCTACTTTGGCATGGAGACTACAATTTCCCCAGACATGTCGGCAGTGTAAGAGTTGAGATTAATTTTTAGTAATAACATATTCTCCCAATGCTTCCTTCTTTCACATCTTTCTCAATTCAGTTGGAATAGAGACCCACTTTGAGGGCTCCTAAACTGATTGCTGGAAGTGCACTAATGTACTGAATGAATGACCTCTAAACATTATTTCCTTGCCTGTAGAAAGCACCTGGTCTCCATTTGGTAACTTGCCAAGCTGGGATCCTAACTTGGTATGCAGAGAATCAGAGGCATATTCACCACAGGCTTTTTCCCCACCATTATTTTTACCGTTTCTTCAGTCACTGAATGTTTTCAGTTATTTGCTTTTGGAGACTCTTGAGGTAACAGTAATTTTCAACATGAAAAACATAGGTTAAGAATATTGTGGTTTTGTCACTTTAATGCATACTGAGTTCACTATACATTAGGGAATGTACACAATATTTTGCCTTATGTAAAATTTTATTTCCTTAGATAGGAACTGTCAATTGAGTATTGAAAACATTGGACAAATCACTTTCTTGATCAATGGCGATCACTTTCTTCTACATGGAAGGCTAACAGGACACGTGTCCTAACACGATATAGCATTTAATAATAATAATCCTTGCATTTGATATAGCACTTTTCACGTCGGGAGGACGTCCCAAAGCGCTTCACAGAACACAATGTAAAGTGAATTGACTGTATATTTGTGGGCGAATGCGGCAGCCAATTGCGCACAGCAATGTCCCACAAACAGTCGTAGATTGAAAATGACCGATTTATTATTGTTTTTGTTTTGGAGGGATTATTAGTAGGCGTGTGGAGTAAGGAACCTTGCCCAAAGTTTCGCCCTGCCTGGAATTGAACTCAGGTCTCTTGCTTACAAAGCGAGTGCTCACACCACTGAGCTACAGGACTCCAGGATTACAGGATTAATCCTGTTACAGGATTAATCCTGTTACAGGATTTGTAACACCAGTATCTTGTTCATTCCAAGGCAAAACAAATTGCCCAAACTAGAGTAAGAGTTAAAATTGTAACTCAAATTGCTTCTTTGTTTTTCTCACCCACTATTCTCTGCTATTTGCAGCTATGATAGACTTCCTCCCAAAGTGTTATATAAGTGTACATTGTACAAGTGTAGATAATTATTTGGGGAAGACAAGTTTGCAGGGCTATGGGGATAGAGTGGGGGAGTGGGATTGAATTGGATAACTCTTTTCAAAGAGCCGGCACAGACACAATGGGCCGAATGGCCTCCTCCTGTGCTGTATAAATCTATAATTCTCTGATGGGAGGAATTTTAAACTCTTTGAGGTCTGAAGTATTATTTTAACATCAACCATGATTTTTTTTCTTCAGGCTACTTTAGTTCAAAAAACTCCTTTGCCTTTGAACCCTTCACAACTTTGTGCATATAATACTACCTACATTTAGTATAGTGCCTTTCAAGTCAGGAAGACATCCCAAACGCTTCACAGAATATATTGTAAAGCTTGGTGACTGTGTTTTGTGGGCAAATGCAATAGCCAATTTTTGCACAGCTATGTCCAACAAGCAGCCATAAACTGAATGACCAATTTTATTTGAGAGATTGTTAGCCTGATCACTGCGAGAGACTCCTTTCCCTTTTTTGAATAATGCCATGGGATCCTTAATGTCCATCTGAACAGGCATACAGGGCCTTGGTTTAACTTCTCATCCAAAGGCATTGAAGTGTCATCTTAGACTATGTGAGTTCAAGTCCTGTAGTGGGATTTGAACCTACAACCTTCTGACTCAGAGGCAGGAATACGACCACTGAGCCAAACTGACACACAATTGGTACTTTACTTTGTAAATGCTACATTCATTACAAATTTAGGCCAACAGGGGCATTATAAAAAATTCTGAAGGTTATCTGCAACACTGTATATCCAGTAATCATGCACAGCTGAAGAGTTAAAAACAGACTCTGGTTAAGATTAAAGAACTTCAAGTCATAGAAAAGGCCCATTAGCAGGTTGTCTACATTACCTTTTGGTGGAAAATAGGACTTGCTTTCTGCCTTGTGAGGCCAGTCAACTACCAATGGTCCAAAGCGGCGAAAGCTGGCAGTAATTTCATCTGTATAAAAAATAATGCTTAATGTACAATCACTGTAAATTAATATTGTATAGAAAAGAATGCATTAACCAATGCACTATCATTACCTTCATCAATATCTGGTGGAAGACCACCAACAAACACTTTGCGTGAGTACCGTTCAATTCGTTCCCCATTCTGGTGAGATGAGCAGCAGTTAGGTGAATTCAGAACGCCAGGGATTGTCTGATCTGCATGACCATCATCAAGAAATCCATCTTCTATAGGGAACAATGAAGAGCGCCCTGCAAACAGTCAACATCAATACAAATTTCAAAAGAATACAGCTGCAGAGCATAGAATCAAATATTTAAAAGAATAAAGCAAAACTGCAACATTAATAAAGCGAGTGATCGTGATAAACTGCAATTTATCTTAAGCAATTTTGCCACTTTCCCAGGCTTGGTGAAAGGAGGTCTTCCATCCTTTAATCTTCATTAGCTATACACAGGACACTAAGGGAAAAATACACAAAACCCAGACAGCTGGCACTGGACAAAAAGTACAAGTAATTACTAAAGCCTGGACTGCTGACAGTTGCAGACACTAATCTCTTTGTCAGTCTACCTAGGCAAGAATTCAACTCTGTAAAGAATCAAAACACTTGAAACATAGTTCTAAAATACATCGCCCCCTCCACAATAAGTTCTATGAGGTTTCAGTGAATCAGCTCTATTTAGCAGTTTGTCTTAAAAGAAAATGGAGCCGAGACCTTGTACAATACTGCTTTTATGAAAAATTAAGCGAGGCAAAGCTTAATGCAAATAATAAAAGGCCATCTCGGTCACATCAAATTGCAATATTTGTAGGCTATCCCGAAGAATAATGCAAATCATGGGTGCAGAGGTTTGGAGTGTTTTGAACCTGCATGGATAAATAAGTTTAAAACAAATGATTTCTCAAGTCTTAGTGACCATCAGTGGCAATGATACCACTAGGACTGTCTAGTGTTTATTTGTATTTCAAATAAACCACTAGGAAGATGGTTTATTTGAAATATAAATGTCTCAACATTAAATCTCATGTAAACTATGAAACATAAGCTTATTAAATTCCCAATCCCAATGTTAGTGACCTGCTCTCATTTGGGTTCTTGCCGTAATAAAGTCATTACTAAATACCTAATATGCAAGTTTGTTTTCAGTTAACAATTTGGGATGAAGATGGGCCTTCCCCTCCAAATTTGAGCAAAGGAAACAGTGGTTACCCATTCATTTTAGATGCTGTCAAAAAAATCCTAAAATATTCAGAGAATGGCTATTTCCAAAAGATATTGAAAATCACCAACAGAATAAATCTAATACCTCTGTATTACCATTAAGAGTTCTGTTTTGCAGAATCACAAGGTAGGAATGCAAAAACACATTAGTATAATCTTAGTGGCTTGAAAACCAGTGGTACACATAAAGATAGACTCTGGAACTATGCTTACAATGTGCTGACTCAAGTTACAATAGCATCAAAATCAGAGACCAAGAGGAGTCTTTTAAAACACAACTGCAACACTACGGCCTTGCCCCCTCCTACCTCTCCGACCTGCTAACCCCTTACCAACCTGACCACTCCCTCCGCTCAGCAGGCTCTGGCTTGCTCCAATGTCCACCATCTGGCCCGCCCCACCCCACCAGCAGCAGTCGGGCCTTCAGTCTCTCTGCCCCCACCCTCTGGAACTCCATCCCACATTCGCTTCGCTCCTTCTCTTGTCTCTTGCGGGGCACGCCTCAAAACCCTTCTATTCAACCGTTAATGAGAAAACTAGGAGAATATGCAATTTCTCCAATAAGTGAGAACTTATCCTATAGGAAACTACTGTCAGTGGGTTAAAGGTCATTCCATTTTTTAACCACGGATAAGACTATAGACATACAACTTTAAAGAATGAAGGATTTAAATGAAAACTATGTAAAAATATGGGTTACACGTTCACAGGAAAGGGATTATAGCATTAAACAGAACACAGCAACATTTGCAAGCCTTCGTGGCATCCTTCTGTGCATAGGAAATGACACGTCAGTGAACTAATATGCAAGTTGGCCACTTTTTAGTGCGCAAGAAGTGAGCTGATGGTTTGAATACACAAGCCTTTTGCTCCAGCTTTCTGTTCTCATTTTGGATTTTGTGGTAAGTTAAATGCCTGGGCCACACCCCAATCACACTATAAATTAACCTGCATTATAATGTCACGAGTTATACATTTTTTTAAAACTTTATTTAAACAAAAAGAAAAGGCTGAAGAACTTGAAAATAAAAGAGAAACATTGGCATAACCTACTAAAATACTGCAGTGTATTGGACAGAACACCATGAGTATTAATGTGACATACTCTGTTGTTGTGTACCAGCAATCATAAGCTAAAATAGAGGATATTTCAAATAGAAATATGTTTTTAAGTTATGAACAAGAAGGGGATGTCACACTTACATAAACTGAATTTTCAAAGTAGATCAACATCATTCCAGTGTTAGAGTACTGCTATTTAATATTGGTTCATCTTGCTGCCAACTTTAATGGACTTGCACATTTTTCATTGGAGAAACAATTAATTCTAGAAAGTTCTGCTTGACAATATTGGACAAATGTTGAATGGACACAAAGTAGAGGAATGCAGGGCCATTCTGGCTGAAGCGATTCACAATTAGAACTGAAAGCCATAACAAGCTTTGTTTAAGCTGTAGTATTCAATCAGTCCCAGTTCCGGAACCAATGTAAAACTTTTATTCAAGATCAACATATTTTGGAATTGCAATTGGCAATGTAGTCTACCCACAGAAATTACAGTATTTAAATTTCTAAAAGAGATTGCTCCCTTAAGTTAACGCCACCATTTTCTTTTGCATTTTTTCTCCAACTTTGATTGTTTGAAAAGAACCATCCTCCACTGTTACACCCCATGACAAGCACTAGGTTTATCTGAGTGAGGTCTGTTGTATCCTCCATATTCTGTTCTCCAATAAGGCTCCTGCCCCTAATGATCTTCATCTTATTCTCCTAAAAAAAATCTGCTTCTCCGAGTTTTCCCCATCTAATGTAATCTCTTAAAAGCTCCCTATTCCCAATGCATTTTTTTTATTGCTGATGTTTATTCTGTCCCTCAACAGGGGGGAAAGAAAAGTCTAGATGGCTACTTTTTATTCAAAATGGAGTACTCACTCAAAATATTAATCTGAGGGAGAAATTTACTATTCTTAAAAAAAGAGGAATTTCCTTACCAACCAATTCAGAGCGCCATGTGGGCAAGCAAATTAAAATCAATCAGTTTTCAGAGTATAATATTTTCTTTTATTAAATGGGAAGGACGTGTAACAAAGAAAATGTTCCTAGTTTTCTTTGCCCTTTTAAACAAGCTGTTCCCTTGTAACTTGTAAACAGCCTAGGTAATTTCTATTTTTTTCTCTCTTGGTTGCCCATGAGGATGAGAAGGAAACTTGTTATGTACAGAGAAGTTGATCTGTGGTCTCTAATCGTGAAACAGAAACTTCTTATTAGTTTCATCCTGGATCAAATATCCCCTTTTATAGATAGTCTAACATTCTGAATACCTGGTTGATGGGCAGCCACTTGGGAGAATGCCATCTCTCAGCTTAGCAACCATTTCTGCATTTCCACTTAAGTAACAGTGTGTTAAAGATAGTTTCTTCTGCACAAATACATTTTTTCAAAAAGGTCAGCGGCTTAATTCCTCAATCATCTGACACTCTGAAACACAGTCTGCAAATGAATTTGAATCCAAGTGAACATATATTAAGACTCCTCTCACATCCGATCTGTGTTTGCACAACTGTGTCTCTCATCCAAGTGCATTTAAGAGGAATGGGAATGGAGAGCTGAGATTAATGACCCAAGTATAGCACTTGCAGTGAGTATCACTGATGTAGTAGCTGCTGTAGGTCTGATTCCTACCAAACCACTGGCCCTATTTTTGTACTACTACGAAATAATAATAATAATCCTTGCATTTGATATAACTTTTTATCACATCAGTTGTAGAAATATCTGTAGATGCCAACAACATAAGCATTTTTAAAAAAAAACAAATATCTGCTGTACAACCACTGAGCTCATGTTTTAAATTTGGGTGCATAATAGTAATTACAGATTCACTTAATAATGTAAATACCCAATCCTTCTCATTCATTAATATATATTTTTTATAAAATAAAAGCAGATGACTAAAATAGTCCTCTAAACTTTCCTGTGCATTCAAAATAAAATAATGTCCATTTTCCAAACAAATTATCAAACCTCATTCCGTCTGTTCGGATCGGCTTCTATTCTTTATTTGTATATTCAAACAAATCATTTTAAAATATTGCACAAAAATAACATCTGTTCAAACCAAACATGTTATTGCAGCAAACAGACAAACTACCAGCAATCATGAGAAAAAATACGATTTTCAATCTATTGTGCAAATTGAATATGAAAAATAAAAATGTAAATCAAAAATAAGCAAATCAGATACAATAAAAACACAAATCAGCACTGAAAACTAAATTACCTCGTCTTCTCCCATAACTTCGTGCTGCATGCAAGTAAAGAAGGATAAATAGGATTTGCATCAAAGATTAATGTGGAGTGAATCAAACAACATGTTAAACCCAAATTTCAAAAGAACACCAATTCAACAGCACGCAGGATTATAAGGAAGATCACACAGGGCAGCAAGATAAGGAACAAAATGTGTACAAATATGCACATTCATGAAATTGTATCATGCAAAATTACTAGGGATGCGATTTATTTACTCTATACAAATCAACCTGTCTCAAGGAGAACAAGCAAGAGATGGAGAGAGAGAGAGGCACACAAACTCAGTGAGAAAGAGATATGCACAGATGGTACTGACAGTACAAGAGATGGTGTGAAACAAAGAGAGCCTCAGAAAAAAACAGATGCATTGAGAGAGACATAAAGTGTAAGAGTAAGCTAGTGGAAAATAGATAGTTAGATAGAAATAAAGATAGAAAAAGAAAGGTTAAGAGTAGCAGAAAAAGTGAAGCGATGGCACAGAGTGACATTTTAATAACAGTGAGTAAAATTCCTGATTTTGTTTCATTAGAGTTGCAGTCAAAGGTGTATGATATCCAATTATCTGCTTGCTTATTTACAATTGGGCCGGACCGAATCACTGCAGATAATCAGCTCTTTACTCTAACAAAATACTCAGGGATATTAAAAGTTGGAACTATTGCACAACCAACTCAATGAAACTGCGTTTCTTTATATCCAAGATCATTTGACTTG